TGGATGTGTTTGCATGTTTTACCTTCAATAATGTGTTTCCTGGACAGTCCTCTTTCCGTCTCTGCTCTGATGGGACAAACACAAAGCAAACAATGAGCTACAATGTACATATTAATTCAATACTTATCTTCTGGTTATTGGGTTCATCGTTGTCGGAGTACATTTCAACCCACAGACAAGGCTGTGAAAAGAGCTAGTTCTTATTTCTGTGCTCTTCTGACCTTCTTGTGAAGTGTAACGTCAGCATGAATGGGTGTATGAACCATGTTATTCATGTGTGATGATGTTTGTGGCATAGAAATAACTCAAATATTATCTGAACTTCCTGGTGCTTAATCAACTTCTAAATATCAGTCGTCTAGCTTTCCAAGCAGAGTGAAAGGCTTTTTTAAATCACTTTTTGACCCCGGCTAGGGGACATGACATGAGAAAGTTTGCATCGAGCTGTTTTATGTAAATGGGTGAGTGAGCTTTCAACTGTTCAGCATCATTATGCAACCAAACTCTGGGGAGGTGAAGGACTGAACCTTCCTCACAGACATGTAGGAATGCTCAGGAATAACTTCAACCTTATCTCCAGACCCAGTTGGACAGTCTCCGCTAAAGAGTGTGTGAGTGTGTGTGTGTGTGTGAGCGTGTGTGTGTGTGTGTGTGTGTGTGCTATAAAACTTTTCTTTATCCTTCTATTTCTTTCTCCAGACTCAGCAGAGGACTTGGTTGTTCCATTGGTTATTGTACTGGTTACTGCACGGGGCAGGACGTTGCTCAGGTTGTTACAGAGAAAAACCTCATTGTTGAGAGGGTGAACTATTATCTTTGCACAGTGGATTTGCGTAATTTATCACTATATACATGACGGATTATCAATAGATTTGAGAACCGATTTGTTGTTGAAGTTTTTCGTGTGACTGAAACTCAGCTCCTCTAATGGACTTTGACGTTTTACTCACTGATATTCTTAACAATATTCGTGGATGTGCAAATTAGTGTGTCTGTGTGTGATGACTGCTTTGTACGACTGAATTGTCTTATGCGACATTCTCTGGTCAGACCTTGATCTCTACGAGACTTCCTAACTAAATAAAACCTAACCAACCACTCACAATCTGCCTTCAGACATGGAAATCAGAGTTTCTTACTTACTTTCCTCCCCAGTAGAGTTTAGTTGTAATGACCATACTGGATCGCCTGAGAAAGAGCAGAGAAAAATACAGAAAGTCTGAAGAAACATGCAGCCGAATGAGTGATACATAATGCATTGTGCTTCATGGATGTGTTTATTACTGACAGTGCTCATCCTGCTCTCTCTGCTTAGCTGTTGAGTTCAAACCATAATCATCTGTCCTCATTGAGGTACATTCATGTCCAGTCTGAAGCAGTTTAATGTGACCGAGCATCCCCCTTCCCTCAAAGGGACAAAGTTGGACTGATGTGTGTACATGTGTATACATCACACTCAGACTGAAATGCCACATCCATCGAGTCTTTACTGCACCAGCGTCAAATGTCAACAATGACACTTAGAGCAGGGACATGCATTATGACTGTTGAGACGATTTTGGCCTTTACGGTGCAAATTGCACTGCATATTAAACATGTTTGTGCTTACAAACATGTACAAAGACTAAAAGTTTGTGGAAACAATCTTTGTGTGTGCTTTGTCCAGTCATAATAGATTGCAGCTAGGTGTCAGGTCTGTTACAAGTTTAAGCTGCACAATGATGAGTGACAACATAAAGACCCATCAGGTACTTCCTAGTACTATCAGTTACTTCCGTTGATACTGTAAGTCTGTCTTTTCTGTTTCCTACGCTGTCGATCAATAATAGACTGAGCTGAAGACTGAGCATGTTTGAAAAACTCCGTAAAGGGAATATTTGAGATTAGAGGAAACTAAAAATACCTGCAGGCAGACTCTTATACAGTTTCATGCTGCTGTACTGTGATGGAATGTGTGTGTGCGTGTGTGTGTGTGTGTGTGTGTGTGTGTGTAGAAATACACAAATTACTGCCAATAAGGAATGTAGTCAGATTTGAAGAAAAAGAAAAAAAACTGACTTGGCAGAGATAGTAGTCCAGATCTCAGCATCACTTTGACATCAAACATATCGGTCTCTCACACACACTTACAACACTAACACGTGCATTTGAACACACCAAATGAAAAAAAAACATCTCTCGCTCCCATCCCCTTTGTCTTTGTTTCATACACGCCCCGCACACACTTCTCTTGCTGCCTCTTGCAACATGCACACACATTTCATTTCTCTCTCACAACAAAAGGGATGAAGCCACCGCACACATCTACGTCACCATTACCTCCAGCATTTCTTCTTGATAATGTTTCCTAGAATGACTTCGGCCCTGCAAGGAAATATAAATGAGGTGGTGTTATTAAATTGCAGTTTGAATTCATAAACATTCGCTCCACTAATATCAACTCTGCAATTTATTGTTAACAAACTAAACACCCCCCCCCCCCCCCGTGCGTTGAAAAGATGGCAAACCACTGTGTCCATAAATAAGTAAGATGGTGCATTAAAAAAAACATTTTTTAAACATTTTACATCACAAGTGCTATCTTATAGTGACAGAGGCTATGTTTGACAGAATTTGAGTTGTATTGTTGTTTTGTTGTTTATGTATTCGGGTAAGTTACGATACAGCTAAAAGGAAATCACTCCTTATTGGTGGATGTTTTAAAAATCAAACCCCACTGACACATGAATTTCATTTCTCCAATTCTAATATGTATGGTCAAGGTGATTTTCCCAAATTTAAATTTGTTGAATGCTGAGCCAAAAATGAAAATCTTCTCACTTGCCCTGATAAAGCTAGGACAGGCTGGAAAGGTGTTTTGCAGGATTTCCCTCATATTTGCATCAGACTCAGACATCGGATGCTTTAAATAAATAATAAATAATGAATATCAGATTCTGCTAATTAGTTCACAGCGTAAGCCTTTCGGAGCTGCAAAGCATTCCTTTAATCCTAAAGATCAACCTAAGGTTCTGCATGAATAATAATGTAATACTTTTTTCTTCATATTCAAAGAATATCCAAAGGCACAGGGTCAGGTTACTTCAAGGAGCCAGAAAAACATAATTAATCATTAAAAACAATGAATCCAACCTCACATTAACAGCAGTTGGTCCAAGTGCATTTACCCGGTCTCAAATATAGGGCATGTCTAGTGTGGAAACTTTTTCTGAAATTGCACGACACTCCAGACCAACTGGTTGTTCATCGGTTCACTAAATGAGTGAAACAAATTAGACTCCGCATGTATGAAACATTTTAAAAATAACATCGTGGAGACACACGTCGGCCCCTGAACTAAAAAACAGGTGAGAGGTTGGTTTGGTTCGACACCTACCTGCCGCCTGCGTAGACCTCAGCTGTGTCAAACAGGTTGACTCCACTCTCATAGGCAATAGTCATTAGCTGCTCTGCAACCTGGCAAGAGGTCAGGACACACACACACATGAAGAGAGGACACAGCAATGTCAGTGTGCTGAAACATTTTTTAAGACACCCTTCGAAACACAAATCCATGGAAGAGCTGTAGCATTTAGCTTATCAATATCTTAAATACAAACATTTGTGTTTCCACAGCTATAGTGTTCCAGGTTTACCAAAAACGTTATCTAAGAAGTAAAACATGGCACACCATCAAAGCTTCATCATTTTGTTTAATATCATTGTGGGCACATTTCAGCCTGAGGCCTTCCTGAGAGAATGAGTATTGTTTAGTCAATAGAACAGACACAAAACTCCACAGCAACTTACAGTAGGGTTGCAAACTCTCTAAGCTACAAGGGGTGAATAAAGGGACAAAAGGCAGAGACGCAGGCTAAACAACACTAATAATTCAAGGACTACAACCATCACACTTAATTGTTAGAATGTTTTAAATGCTGGGATAAAGAGCTGCTATATTTGTGAGGTTGAGCGAGCGCCCAGTTAGATTCTGTCTCTTTAAAGCAAACACGTCTTCTGGGGTTTTACCAAAATCTTCTGCCGAACACAAATAATTTACTAACTAATACAATACATTGTACTTTTCATTATATAGCCCTTTTTTAGTCAAGCCAGCTCACGAGAAATAGATTATTATGTGATTGTAGGATATGTGCAGAGTTTTATATTGAATCAGAACTGCCTGCCGAGTGTTCAAATGGCTTCGGAATCTCCCTTTACAATGTCTATTGATGTTAGAAATCAATCCAACGTTTGAACTTTGATTTCTAGCTCTCATTTTGCACTATTTCTGTCACTTTTCATGTGAACAACTGAGTGCATTTAAACGATTTCACACCTCCCCTCTCTCTATGATGGCAGACTTTGAGCGCAGACGCTCAGAAAAGCTATGACACTTAAAACTATAGCAAATTGTAGTACTCCTTCTGTTGGAGCACAACCCTCCCTGGATCCCTCAGTTGGAGGCTGGGCTGGCTTATGAAATGCCTATGAACCGCAGTGCAGCAGGCATGGCAGAGCCAAAGAGCGAGTTGTGCACAAAGGTTTAACAGGAGTGCCCTATATTGCAAAGGATGCGTTAGACAGTAAATGCTGCAGGGAGCGCAGTACTGTATGTACGATGCAGCTGCACACTCCAGTAGCCTGCTTGAACGCACATACTCAAACATGGCTTGTAGTCTGTTAAGTACAGACTTAATTGAGCAAGTGGGATCTGTTTAAAAAATGATGTACGGTGGTGTCAACTCATTCCTCTTTAGTTAATAAGTGCTTGTGCTTTACATAAGTGTGTTTGTGGCATATGTGCATATTTTTGCAGACATGGTGACCATAAATCCTCAGACAGAAATCCAATTTCCCTGTGGTGAGTTTTATAACATGGGGACTTTAAGGGAACTTTCCATCATCTCCCTGTGGAGTTGTGTGTGTGTGTGTGTGTGCATGAGTTGAGTTCCTAAACGTGTGCTGACAGAAGGTTGTGTTTTCACACGTGGCGCTTGTGTGTTTGTGTTTACATGTGTGCGTGGAATCTGTCTATCTGCCGTTGTGTATGTGCCTCCAAGTAAGAAGATGCGTGTGTGTGTGTGTGTGTGTGTTGCTGTTTCAATGGTGGCAGACAGCGGAGGTGTTGTTTCTAGAAGGACTAGATAATCTTTCTTCTGAGAATCTGTCTCGGCCTTCTATCTGCAACCAGTGCAGACTGGGCAGCAGTCCAAGCCTATGTGTGATGATGATAAACTAATAATACAATTTATTTAATTAGTGTCTTTGAAGACTTTGAAGGAACAACCAAAGTACTGTAATATAGCAAGACAATAAAACTGTGCAAAACGAATTTAGATGTAATAAAAAAAAATGATGTGATAAAAGAAGTAAAATAAAGACAATAAATCATAATTAAAGATTAAAGAAGATACCAAAGTGATGACAAGTCAATAAAAATACCAAAAAGTGAGTGTGCAGCTGCATCGTACATACAATACTGCGATCCCATGTGGGGTCTGTGACAGAAAACTAATAATATTCTGAGTATAACCAGTACTATCTCCAGTATATCTCATCATTATCAGATGCAAATCCACTGCTTTCAGGGACAGTTGAATGGGCAGTGAGGCAGGAAAGTAAAGGACTGAGAAGAATGAACAGACAGAGCGAGACAATGGAGAGGTCAAAGACAGAAGAGGTCAGTTAAGGAGAAAAAAAGACTGGGAAAATACAGGGACGACAGAAAATGAACAGCATGTTCTTTCTCTAACTGGTCTCTCTCTCTCTCTCTCTCTCCCCCTCTCTCTCTCTCTCTCTCTCT